TATGAAATTTTATTTTTATTAAACCTTCCTTCATATTTTTAATAAGAATCCAATAGATAAGATTGTATTAATTTTAAAATCTTAAATATTAAAAAAAATTAATATAGAAGTTATTGTAGTTCAAAAAAATACTATGTCATTTTCGTGTGAGTTCTTCTGTTTAATATTTTAGGGTTATTTTGGTCTATTCAATATTATATTTGTGCTTTTATAATAATATAAGCTCTCATGTTTCTAAATGGATTTAGACAATATAATACGTTTTCAAATTAAATTAGCAATAGAAATTTTTTAAGAAGTATATCGTAAAAGTAATAGGATTACATGTCTAATAATATATCCATATCCCGAAAGTAATTATACTAATAGAAAATCTAACATGTTCCTAAATTTATTAGGTTTACATGCTAATATGTAGTATTATATATCTATGCCCGAACATAATTACACTAATGGGATTTCTAAAGGTAATCATGTAGGATTCCTAACGTGTAGTATTATGTCCTAATACTAATAGGATTACAAGGCTAATGTCTAGAATTCTGGTTATGTCCTTTTATTATGAGTTATTATACTTTAGATGATTGTTGTATTATTATATATATAAATTTATCTCATTAATTAACTTTTATTGTTCACTCAAATAAATAAATATTTAAACCATCACGTGTTATTATAAAAATTGAATCCCCAAAAATTAAAAGTTAAATTATTGAAATAGCATAAATTATTGAAATAACCTTCTAAATAATTTCAATGTACCTTATTTAATTATTTAATAATATTAAAATAAAAGAAAGTGACTTTTGGACATTTACGAAACGTCCTGTTAAGGGGATTCTTGGACTTTTCATAATAGTGTGCTGACATTGCGTAGTATAAATTTGATTCTTTTATATATGAATTTTAGTAGCAACATACATTGATTTTTTTAAATAAAAAGAATAAAATCTAATTCATAAAGATAATCATGTAGGATTCCGAGCATATACTATTATGTCCTAAACTAATAGGATTACAAGGCTAATGTTTCCGATTATATCCTTTTATTGTAAGTTATTATGCTTAATATTAAAAGGTTATTTTTGTAATCCAACATTTTATTCATGCTTTTATAATAATATACATACATATATATACATACATACATATATATCTATATCTATATATACATATATATATATATATATATATATATATATATATGAACGTGTGTTGCACGTTAAAAGTTGCACATAATGGTTTAGGGAATTATTTTTATAAAGGAACATAATATTTTAAGTAATGAGAGAATTATATACAATACAACAATAATTTAAATCCCAAAAAGATCATTACATTAGCATAAGACCTTATTTCAAAATGATTGAATATTGTCAATTGAACCTACAAAATGATCAATTTATAGTCTGTTTGGCCAAGCTTCTAAAATCAGCTTATTTTGAGAAGTGTTTTTTCTCAAAAGTACATTTTAAAAAAGTGCTTTTGGTGAGAAGCAATGCGTGTTTGGCTAATTAATTTGAAAAGCACTTTTAAACAGTAATTATTGTTTGGCCTAGCTTTTGAAAACTACTTCTAAGTGTATTTTTCTCAAAAATGCTTCCCAGGAAAGTGCTTTTGGAGAGAAGCTACTTTTTTATTCTTCTCAAAAATTGCTTCTGCTTCTCCTCAAAAGCATTTTTTTTTTCCTTCTAAAAGTTTGACCAAACACCTCAATTTTTGGCCAAAAATGCTTTTGGCCAAACAAAACACTTTTGGCCCAAAAAAAAGCTTGGTCAAACAGGCTATATGGTAGTTAGATAATATTATTACATACTTATAATTATCTTAACTCTTCTTTGTAGACAATATTCTTTATATATGTTTCCTTCATATGCTTTGGTGCTCCGACATGACCAGAACATTGTTGTAAATATTGATATTCCTCTTAAAAGTGCATCATATAATTGTTCGTATGAGAAGATATGTTGCCACATATACAGTTCAATATTTGGAATTATTTGCCCTTGTGCTTTTCTTATTGTCATTACAAAACACAAACGTTCGATAAATTTTCTGGATGTGAAAGTTGAATTCTAAGGATGAACACATGCTTGAAAGTACATTGACATATCATGATTTCTGCATGTATCACAGTGTTATTAAAATCTCTATGTACCATTCTTATACCATTGCATAAGCTATTTGACGAAATTAAATTTTTCGGTAACATGATGAATTTATTTTGCTTCAGAATCAACATGTATGCAGTAAAAGTTTATTTTTAAATTAATAATAATATATTCAACTCCAGTTAAAATCACCTACCATTAAAAAAAAAGAAAATGCTAATGCACTATGAAGCCACAAAATAAACAAAAACCACGTAAAAGAAAACTAAAGGCCTTTAACTGTCAAAAGGAATTAACAACTTAGTGACATGTACTTTGCACAACTTCCATTTTCATTTAGTTATGGAATATTTTCCCTGTTAAGAGATTTTCACAACTAATATCGTCAATGTGCTTGATAATTAATTGTTCTGGAAAAAGGATCAAATCATCTTTTATTGTATGCTCTTTATCATTTCTGACACGAAATAAGAAATCACTGAATGCTGTATTTGTCCTTATTGTTAGCTGAAGATCCAATTTGTCATCAAATTATGTATTTAGTTTATTAAAAATAAAATTGAAAAATGATAACTTTTTTAGAAATTAATTGGTATACTCTTTAACATCACAACCTAGCAAGTATTTTATAGCATCAAAGAGTGTAACATCATTTGTCATTGAACAACTCAAGTTTTAAACAATATCTACAAAGTATTATATAATTACATTAGAAACATATTTATTTAATAAAGGAATAAAAGGAATTGAAAGATTTTTTATATGGTTATCTTCCTCGCAATCGATATCTCTTATCATACAATTACTGCAATTAGCAATTTTATTTTCATCATATACCTTCTTGTAGCATTTTTTTTCAAAAAGAATACCATGGAGCATCTCTATTTATATAGTTTATTATTTGTACATTGAATCTAGAATATAAACCATGCATATAAATAAAAGTCAATTTATTGGGTTTTACACATTCGAAAAGGACGTAAAATTATTATGATGGTTTTACGCATTTGAAAAGGACGTAAACTTGTTTTGAAATATTTTGAGATCTTTTACCCTTACAATTGTACATGAGCCATTTATGATATCATTAACTATTTTAAGGCAAAGTAAAAGATTATTTATCCCTTTATTTTAAGACTAAGTAAATGACTAAACCTCCTAAAACGTGTTTCTTTCTGGTACAAATAACACAAAGAAATGTAACCAATATTTATTAGAAAAAGCAGCTTCTTGAAAAAGACCCAAATGATCTAAAAAGACCTGGCGGCCTAATCTAGTACATCACTTTAATAAAACGGATAGAACATTAATAACTGACTTAATTAATAGGCGAACATAAATCAACAACTAACTAAATAAGAGTATAATATTTAAAGCCAAATAGAAAAGAGAAAAATAGTTTGATCTCATACTGATAGAATTCAATAAAACTATCTATTGAATATATACACCCAATAACTATTTATATGAATCATCTTGAATAAATTCTTTGAAAAATAATGTAGTTGATAAAATTGAAGAAAAATAGTAACAATTGAGGAATATATTACCTACACGGTTGATTTTCAATCTTAGAAATAACATATAAATACATAAGCTAAAGCAAGAAAACTTGGTTGATAAGTACAATAAAAAGTGTATAATATAGAAATAAATAATACCTTTTGTAAAGTTTGTAGCATTGTAATGTTTGCAGAATTTTGATATTGTATTTTTTTGAAAATAGCACGGGCTAACCAGTTTTCGGACTGGTAATTGAAAAATAGCCAGCGTTTGCAAAGTTATTAAAAAATAATCGCTATTTTACTTCAAAATGGAAAGTTCCAGCATAATATACTGGAGATTGGTGCACCTGGATAAAACACACGAAAAGTTCCAGCATAATATATTGGAGATTGGAACACCTGTGTATGAACTTCCAGCATATTATGCTGGACCAGTATATTATGTTTGAAGTCCAGTATACTATACTGGAACTCCAGTATATTATGCTAGAATATTTTTCGGATTTTGAATAGTATTTTCGTTCAGATTTATCTTTACATGAAAGTGGCTAAATTTTGATTAATTTTGAAATTGTGGCTATTTTTCAATTACTACTTGTAAATCTGGTTATTTTTTAATTTTACCCTGTATTTTTACACCAGGACCAAAGCTAGAAACTAATATGTAGAAGTATTTGGCTCTTTTTTTTAAAAAAAAAATGGATTCGTACAATTTAATACGTTCTCCAATTAAATTAGTAAAATAAATTTTTTAAAGAAATATGTCCTAAAAGTAAAAGCATTACATGTCTATGTGGCAATGTGGCACATAGAATTCCTAAAACATAATAGAATTACACGACAATGTGGCAAGTTTCAAACATAAAATAAGTTATATATATTGTTTCCAATTGATATTAGGATTTGGACTTAAAACGTAAACCAAAATTGTGGATTAGTAGACTACGTACTGGTTAGCCTTTTTTCTCACTTAATTCCCATTAAGTTTTCTCAAATTCACAAACTTTCTTTAATTATATTATCAAACCAGCATATTTACAAATAAATTGATTTAGCAAAAAATTTCGAGGTTTAAGAATTAGGAATATGATCCTAAAAGTAATAGAATTGTATAGCTAATGTTTGGGATTCCCGTAAGAAGTATGTCCTAAAACTAATAGGATTACATGACTAACGGGTACAATTCCGGTTATGACCTTTTATTGTGAGTTATTATTCTTAATATTATAAGGTTATTTTNTACATTCTAAAGAAATTCTAAAGTGCACAAATACATCATTGTTAGGAGGGTAGAACAAAAAGAAATCTTATTTTCTCCATATACTTGAAAGATATAGAGGAAAGTAATTGATAACTTGACTAATGCCTAATTAATTAGCAGCGTTTATCTAGATTTGGTGCTGCATTTTTTTGGGTAAATAGTACTTCCATCTAATGGTAACTTAAGCTGACAATTAAGATGCAGCCAGAACTTAACAGAACCAATAAACCCTACTCTCCACCTAGTCCTTGTATTCCCTTTGAGATCAAAAACTACTTGTTTCTGATCCAATGACATTTCAGCAACTTCTCCCTCTTCGGGAGTCAAAGAAATCGACGTTGACTCCACTGGATAATACAATGGAGTTGAGCTATTTTGAGGTACATCAAAAGGGTCAGCTCTTAAATAAGCTACTTTTACACCATGGAAGGTGAGTGTAAAAATTGTCTCATAGAAACTTGCATGGGCTTTTGCATTGTCATTTTCAGCGTTTATGACAATTGAAACCTTGACAATTAGGTTACTAGACATGTCATAGGAAAAATTATCCACATTTGCTCTCACGACACTCATTTGAGGTACTTTTGGCCTGACGATCATGTATCCGATGAAGACGACGAGGCCGGTGATGATCACGGCTAGGGTTATGAAGGTGCAGAGTGCGGCAACACACCAGATTAAAGGGTTGGTACGTCGTTCCGGGCCTAACACGGGCTTTGGCATTGGGAGGAGGAAGAGGAAGATCAAGTGGTGATCGGCGTGTTTGGTTGATATGATCTTCAAGCTAACAGAATGCCTATCAGTTGCTAGTTCCGTTCCACTATTTGTTGTTTGCTGATGTGATAGTCTGAGTAGACGGTTCTCTCTTTTCTACTGTTCTTTGGATTCATAATCGATGCTATTGAATCTGCAATTAAAGAAATATCAATAAGAGTTCTAGGACTTCATGGTAGAGTGACAACAATCAAAGAAGTTCAAAAGGATTTCTTTTCTTTAGATATAGTGAAGGATATCTTAGAAGTATAAGGAGAAAGGTAGGTGCCTGTGTTAAGGTACTTGGCTATAATTGGTGGGGAAGGTTTTGGTATCTTGCTTTTCCTGAAGATAAAGTTTTCTTTATCTAAACTTCTGCGTTATGCTTTGTTCTTTAACCCTTAAAAATGTGAACACAATATATACCTAGCTTGCAGACAATTTCCAATATCTATACAGAGACCACACCTTGCCACTTTTGTTTGTTCTAACAGAATCTCAACAAGCTAAGCACATACATAAAGGATAATGTGGTCTTTTCCGTGCTTAGTCTTCTTGTTTTTTGTTTTTCATTATTTTATTGATAGGGAGTCATAGAATTTTTTTATCACTTCATATTTTAAACCAAATAACTAACTATATCTCCAGAAAGTTTTGAATCTTGACTCGGGTATATATAGTCAAAATGGATTTAATTTACAATAACAATTGAAGATGTAGGGATCTGTTAGGAGTACATGTTATTGGATGGTGCATCAAATACTTTTGATATCCTAATTTTTTATTGCACTTTGAAGGAGCAAGGTTGCCAACGCTATATTGTACAATGACAATGAGGGTTTATCCTAGACTGTATGTTGTTATACTATTACTTTACAATGAGTTTAAACTTCATATATGCACTAGCATAAATTACATATTATAACACTTCTTATCGCACCAATCTAAATTACATGTTACTTCATGTCTGAATTGCTATAAATTGAATATGGCATGCACAAAAAGTATTTTTAAAAGAAGGGGGGGGGGGGACAATTTTCTTGAGCCCCGCAATAATCACATGAATAAATAAGAAAAGAAAAATCTGAACCTGACAAAACTTAAGTGGTTGGCAAGATATGCTGATTGTTCACATTAATGATCCTTTCTAAAATTATACTGCAAGGATATGCATAAATCGAGAAAAAGAAATTAAATCAATTTATATTGGAATTTAAGAACGTCACTTTTATTGAGTCAAGACAAAAGTTAGATACAATAAGATTTTGTAAATTTTTTTAAAAAAGAAGAAAAACAGACATGGGTCCCGGAAGTCAAAAGCAAATTCTGTCTCGACCGAAAAAGAAAATATAATTATTAACTCCCTCTCCATAAGACCAGAGAGAACTTTCTCCAATAAGGATTAGTTTTAAAATTTTCGCTAAGCAGTTCGCCCATTTAATTTTTTAAACACTTTCCATCTCAAACTTCTAAAACCTTGCCCCAAAATACTCCTCCAAGTTTTACCATTTAATACTCCCCCTTTCACTTTTACTTGGCACTTTTAATTTTTCACGTCCTTTAAAGAATAATAAATAAAGTGCATAATTTACCATGATACTCATGCATATTTTATTGGATTTGAGGAAAATAATTTGAAATGAGTAATAAATACTGTGGGTATAACGGAAAAAAAAATTTGTCTTCTCTTGATATGCGTAAAGTGACAAGTACTCCCTCCGTTCACTTTTACTTGACACGTTTTGACTTTTCATGGCCCTTAAGAAATAATAAATGAAGTGCATAATTTATCATGATACTCATATTAATTGATGCATATTTTATTGGATTTGAGAAAATGGTTTGAAATGAGCAATAAATATTGTGGGTATAACCAAAAAAAGTTTTTGTCTTCTCTTGATATGCGTAAAGTGACAAGTAAAAACGAAAATTCATTTTTAGTAATATATGACAAATAAAAGTGAATAGATGGAATAGTTAGCTAAGCTAAATATGCTAATAAGCAAATAATTGATCTTCCTCCCTTTGTCGCCTCATGGCTCATTCTCTGTAGGTGAAATTTTACTCAGCAATCGACATTTTTGAGTGTTTGTGTAGTTAATCTAAATTTATTGTGGACGACTAGAAATTTTTAAAATTAGCCTTAATGCTTATGGTTTGACGTTCATTTTATATATATAAGTTATGTTTAATATTCAAATTATTCTTAAGGATGTTGTTGTTTGTTTTGGGCTCGATTAGCATTTCCTATTAACGAATAACTTCATTTTCAAGAACGAGGATGCTCATCTTCACCACAATCTTTAGTGGTATGCATATGTCATTGGTTGTATTTAAAAAATAAAAAATAAAAAATAAAATTAGGATATTGCTAACTCACTACATCCATGTACTAGTAGGTTTGTTAGGACCAAAAAAAAATTAGGTGTCATGCGAAAGCTAGCAAAGCAAACCTTGAGCGACGATAAATTTAATAACAAAAGAGAAATATACCAAAAGAGACACAAACATATAACGTGGTTAGGTCAACTGACCTACATCCACGACGGAGATGAGCAATCTACTATATAAAAAGAGAGTACAAAAATCGAGAGAACAACATCTCGAAGAGGCAAACACAAGTGACACACTAACACTTGTCCCGTAATGTTCTCCCCCTAAACACGACTCTCAAACTCCATATAGCTACATTATGGATGCTACTGAATGAGAAAGGTAGATCCTCAATGTATAGAACTCCATACTTTTTCCTATAAGAAAAGGGACTAGCCAAATATGAAAGAATTTTATTTTCCTTCTTGGAAAAGAAAAATCCAATTATAGTAAATATGTTGTCCTTTCCTTCATGAAATAGCTAGGAAAATCAATTATGGTAAGAAAATCTAGACAAACACCTAACAATTCTCCTCCTTGGCCTGAATTTTCTGACAAAATAAACTTGATCAACCTTCTTCACATAATCTTCAACAGGTCGCATCTCCAAATCTCCACCACAAAGTTTGTCTCAACGTGCGTTGCACTACAGTAAAATTTCTTAGACAAAAAATTATGATTACCGTCAAATAGGTTGCAACTAGACCTAAACCCACAAAGATGAACCTGTCTTGAACCTCGCTCTGATACCACTTGTTAGGACCGAAAAAAATTAGGTGTCATGCAAAAGCTAGTAAAACAAACCTTGAACGACGATAAGTCAGATAATAAAAGAGAAATATTCAAAAGAGACACAAACATTTAATGTGGTTCGGTCAACTGACCTACTTCCACGGCGGAGATGAGCAATCCACTATAATAAAAAAGAGTACAAAATATCGAGAGAACAACCTCTCCAACAGGAGAGCTTCTGATAATGCCATAATTATCCAAGAATACATCACCCATTTTAGGAAGATGAAAGAAAAAATACCTAACATGATTCTCAAGATTGACCTGGAAAAGGCCTTTGAGAGACTTGAATGGTCCTTTATAAAAGAAACCCTCCATGTCTTCAGCTTCCCCAAGGCTACAATCAATCTCATTATGTCTTGTGTCAGCTCTTCATCCATCTCTGTCCTAGTCAATGGAGAGCAGACAAATCCTTTAAACCCATAAAAGGTAATAGGCAGGGGGATCCCTTGTCACCTTACCTCTCCATCCTCTGCATGGAAAGGTTATCCAGGTCCATTGAGCAAAGTGCCCAACTCAAGAAATGGGCACCCATTAGCATTAGTAGATCTGGGCCAAAGATATCTCACCTCTTTTTTGCTGATGATCTAACACTGTTTGCTTTAGCTAATCAGGGAAACTGTAGCACAATCCTCAACACTCTCAACCAGCTCAATCAGGCCTCAGGGCAGAAAATCAACCTCAACAAATCCAAAGTCTACTTCAGTACCAACTGCCAACCACACCAAATGGAAAACATCTCAAACACCCTTACCATCCAGGCACCAGCCTCCTTTGGGAAGTACCTAGGTTTCCCAATCTTCCACAAAAGATCCACCCACAATAACTTCCAATTCATCATTGACAATCTTCACACAAAATTGGCAGGGTGGAAAACTAACATGCTCAATATGGATGGAAGAACTATAGTGGCAAAATCATCACTCAATACTATGCCTAACCATGTCATGCAATACATTAAACTCCCTTCTAAAACATCCAAAGAAATTGACAAAATCCAAAAAAAATTCATCTGGGGTACCACCAGTGTCAAGAAGAAAATGCATCTGCTATCCTGGGACACAGTCACAAAATCAAAAGCACAGGGTGGTTTAGGAATTAAGAAAACTGAGTTGAAAAATAAATCAATCTACTAAGAGCTCGCATGGGGACTCTACCAGAACCCCCACTCTCTCTGGGCAAAAGCTCTCATAGCCAAACACTGCAACTGGAGACAACCACCAAAAAAATCAAAGTCCCATATCTAGCAATACATCTTCAAAGGGTGTGAAATATGTATGTATGCCAAAAGATGGGTTTTACACTCAGGGAACATAGTCAGTTTTTTTAATGACCCTTGGATCCCAAACTTCCCATCAATCAGATCCATCATAGAGGACCTCTTTCAAAAGAAGACATGGCCATCATAGTGGCATCTGTCCACAACACTGGGGTTTAGGATTTTTCTTCTATATCACTAGACATAACCCCAAGCATCAAGAACACAATCCAAAATACTTTCATCCTACCAAACCCAATTAAAGGAGATAGAATGATCTGGGGGGGCTACCACTAATGGAATCTTCACTCTAAAGTCAACATACTCCCTACTTCACAATCTTGAATACCAACACTGTGAAAAAATAAGCAACAATTACCTGTGGATCTGGAAATTAAAAGTTCCTAATAAAATCAAGTCCTTCTTCTGGCTCCTATTCCATGACAGGCTCCCCACTGACTTCTTCCTCCACCATATTGGGATCCAATTAGACCCAAAATTATGCTTCTGCAACCAAGAAATTGAAATATCTGCTCATATAATCTTTGAATGCCCCAATGCCAAGCAATTTTGGACAAGGCTTGCTCTGAAAGTACAAACCTCCTTCCAAGCCAGGTCCCATCCTTAAATAGTAGAGATTGGTGAAACATATGGGATTTCCTTAGAAATAAACCATTCAACAGCTTCATCAATTGGGAAGATCTAATTTCTTTCTGCTTCTGGCAAATCTTGCTCACTGGAAACAATAACCTATTCAATAAAAGAAAGGATGTGGTAAATTTAAAAGCTGCCATAACTAAAGCAATTGTGTATATTACCATTTCTGTAAATAGTGCACCAACAAAAAAAAGAATTATTTGGGTCAAATGGACACTATCACCCACCAACTAGTACAAGCTCAATAATGATAGAGCTGCACTAGGGAACCCCAGCAAGGGAGGAGTGGGAGGTGTCTTCAGAAATGCAAGTGGGAACTGGATTCTGGGCTACATGGGAAGTATTTAGCATACTACAAATACAGGCATAATTGCTTGCTATTCTAAGGGGTCTGCAGCTAGCGGAAGAAAGGCACCTTTTACCCTTGGAAATCAACATAGACTCCACAGAGATAATTAGAATGCTTACCAATGGTAACCTTATTTTTGATTCTATCATCTTTGAATGCAGATCAATCTTCCAAAGGCTAGGAGACGTGGTGGTGAAACACAACTACAGGGACACGAACAGAGTAGCTGATCTACTAGCCAAGGAGGGAGCCAAGAAGACTCTTTTTGAAAATATTTTTATAACAACAGTTCCTCCGGTGTTTGCTACACATGCTTTTTGGGCAGACATCACAGGAACTGTTTCATCAAGGCAAATTGTTGATTGTAATACTGACAACTTTAGTCACAATGAGGGTGAACTGATATACCCCCTCGAAACAGTGCTACTGACAATTGGCACCCTAACGGGTAGTTTCTTTTTATAATGAAATGCTCTTTTTTAACCAAAAAAAAACCTCACGAAGAGGCAAACACAAGTGACACACTATCACTTGTCCGGTAAAATTCTCCTCCTAAACACGACTCTTAATCCTCATATGGCTACATTGTGAATGCTACTGAATGAGAAGGAAGGATCATCAATTTATAGAAGTTCAAACATTTTCCTACAAGAAAAAGAACTAGCCAAATATGAGAGATTTATAATTTTCTTCCGCGAGAAGAAAAATTCAATTATGGTAAATATGTTTTCCTTTACTTTAAAAGATCGGAAAACCAAATATAGTAAGAAAATCAGGACTTGTCCTAACAAGATTAACAAAACGCTTTACAAAATATTGATAAATGACTAGGTGTTAAAAGAGTAAAGAAAATTAAATAATTCTATCCTTCTTTCCACTTCAATTAATTATAGTTACGTAGTATATATTTTTACTTTAATTTTAACCGTTCAAATTAAATTATTTAATTTGAAGTAAACACGAATGAATCATTTACTTGCCAGCAAACTCTTTTGTTTTTCACTCTTCAATTCTTACTCTAGAATTGGTCCCCAATTAATTACTTGTGGGCATTTTCTAAAACTACCAACTAGTAGTAGTATTAGTGTTTCTTAGCAGCTGCTATAAGCAGATCAGAGAAAGAGTTTTGCAGAAATGGCACTATCCCTCCCAAGTCTGTTTGCAAAAGGTCATTATTTTAATTTGGTCATTTCTACTTGATTTTAATGGCATTTTAGATTGTCTCTTTATTAAACTGCTGTTGAATTTCTTTTAGCTACTCTGTTCTTTCTGTGTTGGGTATCTCTTAAATCCCTTGTGAGAAATGATTGTTGTTATTCATTTAGCTAATCCTATTTCTTCTTCTTATAGATTTAAGTTATATGCACTTTTATTTCTTACACGGTCTGTGTTTGTAGCAGGTTACTTATCATTTATTCTAGGTTATCTGCAATTACCTTTTGCATGACTTGACTGTGTTAATATTTTTTACATCAGCTTGAACTCTTTTTCTATGGTGGTTTGAGTAGTTATTTTTTCAAATGGGAAAGAGATTTGAATCAGTTGGATTAGTTCCGATGAAGCCAAAGAATTTTATTCATTGCAAACAGGCCGTAAGATTCATGAATCAGCAGCTATTTACTTGTGAAAACCCAGTTCTTGACATATGAAGTTGTTCAGTTCTGGGATCTTATTGATGTAAAATACTCAGTCGGGTTTTAAATATTAGCCGTTCAATGAATTTGATGTGGTTGAAAAACATGAAGTGTTTAATTATTTTTTTCCCAAATCTACACTTACTGTTCCAACTAGTGTAATGTTAATTGAAGTGCTTAATGAGATATAAAAAGTAGTTGATACAAATACTTTAATGATTAAGATATTAAATGTTGTTCTTAAGGGGTGTTCAAAAACTCTTAAAAGACATAATATAGTACTACTATTTAGGTGCTTTTCTTCGGGGATGGGGGTGGGGGTGGGAGGAGAGGGAGTTGGTCCCTCACCGTAGGTTGGCTCTGCAGCTATGTTGCTCACACTCTCCAAAAATGTTGCCGCACCCGTGTCGGATCCATAAAAAATGCGCACCCAACGGCGTTTTTGAAAAGTGTGAGCAATGTAGCTGTGTGATCAAAATGGATTTGATAAAGAGGTATGTTGGATCAAAAAGTTCTATTAAATAATGTTACCTCACCTTGAAATGGCCTGAATACAAACATAGGAAATTGTTAAGAAGTGATTGTGAAATCTTTATCTCTCCAGTTTTAGTGTACTTCAGGTGGTCTTTATCTAATACTATCTTGCTTTCCAGGTGATGCTTATGGGATTAAGTATTTTGAGATTAAGACAAAGCCAAGTCAATTAAAGCTTTGCTTTAGCTGTAGAACAAGGGCAAAAGCAGCTCTTAGTACTCGTTCGATTTCCATTGAAGTTCCTCGTCAGTGGTACAATCTAGTCGCAGACCTTCCAATCAAACCTCCACCACCATTGCATCCCAAGACTTTTCAACCTATCAAGCCTGAGGATTTGTCTCCTCTTTTCTGCAATGAGTTGATTAAGCAGGAGGCAAGCATTGACCAATTTATTGATATACCAGAGGAAGTTTTAGATGTGTACAGCCTTTGGCGGCCGACCCCTCTGATTAGGTTTGTTTTCTGTTTCTTAAAAGTGGTCTTATTGGAATGTCAACTTCACTTACATCTTCAGTCAAAATATGTTAACTTACGGTAACATTTAGAGCAAAGAGGTGGGAGAAATTGCTTGATACACCTGCGCGAATATATTACAAGTATGAAGGTGGTAGCCCAGCAGGATCACATAAGCCCAACACTGCCGTTCCTCAAGCCTGGTACAATAAAATGGAAAATGTCAAAAATGTTGTAACGGAGACTGGGGCTGGGCAATGGGGGAGTGCAATATCATTTGCTTGCAGCTTATTTGGTCTCAACTGTGAGGTAAGATGTACCTAAAAGTTTTCCTTTTATTTTAGAGCACCTATATGTTAGAGAAATCATCAACCAGATTCAATTTCGATAGCATAGAATGGCAGGAAAAGGTATAAAATCAAAAATGATCTCCTTGACAATTTCATGTCTAATGGAAGCGATGTTTCTGGACAACTGTCTTAATTTGTTAAATTTTAATGCAGGTATGGCAAGTTCGAGCGTCTTTTGATCAGAAACCTTATCGTAAAATGATGATGCAAACTTGGGGTGCCAAGGTGCACCCTTCTCCTTCTGACCTTACTGAGGCTGGTCGGACTATTCTACGAATGGATCCTTCAAGTCCAGGTAGTTTAGGTATAGCTATTTCAGAAGCTGTGGAGATTGCAGCTACAAATGCTGACACTAAGTATTGCTTAGGAAGTGTTCTCAATCATGTTTTGTTACATCAGACTGTTATTGGTGAGGAGTGTATAAAACAGATGGATGATTTTGGAGAGACTCCAGATGTGATCATCGGTTGCACTGGGGGTGGATCCAATTTTGCTGGACTTGCTTTCCCATTTATCCGGGAGAAGCTTAAGGGAAAAATTAATCCTCTTATTAGAGCGGTTGAACCTGCAGCTTGCCCCTCCTTGACGAAGGGTGTATATGCTTATGACTATGGAGACACAGCAGGCATGACTCCGTTAATGAAAATGCATACGCTTGGTCATGACTTCATACCTGACCCCATTCATGCCGGTAGGTCTTTGTCGCTTCACAAAGGATATTATTGCCCTTTACTTTTTTCTTATTAAAACTTCATTTTCAGGGGGTCTCCGTTATCATGGCATGGCGCCGTTGATATCACACGTCTATGAATTGGGTTTCATGGAGGCAATATCAATTCCCCAGACTGAATGCTTTAAAGGTATTTTTACTTCCTTACTTTCCCCATTATCTGTTTAGAGTATGAATTATATATGCATTGATGTTGCAGAGTCGGGCATTCTTATATATTGTACAATTACCATTTCAGGCGCTTTACAGTTTGCTAGGTCTGAGGGGTTGATACCTGCACCAGAACCAACTCACGCAATAGCTGCCACAATCAGGGAAGCTCTACGATGTAAAGAGACAGGAGAATCGAAAGTTATACTCATGGCAATGTGTGGACATGGCCATTTTGATTTGTCATCTTATGATAAGTATTTGCAGGGTGGCCTGGTTGATTTGTCATTTTCAGAAGAGAAAATAAAAGCCTCACTGGCCAAAATACCGCAACCACTGTTCTAATTTGATCCAAATCGAGGAGACAATGAGAGTAAGAGCTAGGTATGTAGAGAGAAGCTTACAGAGGTCTGTCTCATTTTCCTTTGATCTGTGACCCGTCATGCTTCCTGTTTGGAAGGGCAATCTTTTCATTTTTGCATTTGCTGTTAAATGTTGAGGGTGATTTTTCTATTATGGCAAGACTAGTCGTCCACCTGCACTTCGCGCGGTTATGTATCTATATTGTAGTACTATATGTGTATAATACGTTGTGTAATAACAAAGCTGCTATTGCAAGAACAAGATCAGATCTTGGTTATGATTTCTTTCCGCAAAAATGTTTTCCCAGTTCTACCAAGTGCATTCATGAAATAACCTCACCCCCTTCCCTCTTGTTGCTCTAAATATTAAATTGGACTGGTAGTAGGTTAGTAGCTTTGTGAGCTGTTGTCTGACCTTCAATAGTTAAAGATGCATGTAATTAATCATCTCAGCAGGGGCGTATCTACGTTATTGGATGAGGGTTCACGTGAACCCATACTTCTCTTCCTAAACCATGTATAACAATGTTATATCTCTTTAAAATTATTTAAATATGTGCATGTGCACCCAAACTCAAAGACTCTCATGGTACAATAATTATTGGGTGAACCTTTACAAGTGAAATCGGCGGTTCAATTCCCACTCCGGACGGTCTTGTTTTCAACACTTGTGAAAATCACTAGAAGTTTAAAAAGAATATAATTTTGAATCTATATTTTCAAAACTGTTATGTGTTCATGGTAAGAGCCTAAAGATAAACCCGTCAAATATATATTCTAGATCCACCACTTTACAGTAGTGCATCCATCCTGGATCCGCCTCTTCATCCGTAACTAAGCTCTTCATGCAAAAGCCTATTTGATTGCCTTGACAACAATGAAAGATCTGGGAAAAGAGTGGCAGCCCGTCAAACTCTCCTGAGGATTGTCTAGTTTATGAATTAAGGAATGTTTTCATTCTTGTCACGAACAAAAATCCATCTGGTCGTGATAGCACCTAACACAACCCGTTAGATAAGCCAAGTAACAGTCATTACAATCCAAATAACAATAATAGGATTAAATGAGAAAATGTGATGACCCGTTAGGTCAATTTTAGTTTTAGCCTTCATTTCTGTGATTGGAGACCTCGAATAACTCCGTTTAGCCTACCTCGATTTTGCATGCGCACTCCGTGTCCTTTCCGGTAAAAATTTTATGTGAAAAATTGATGGAAATGAGATATTTTGCCTTAAAACTCATTTGAGTTGACTACTGTCAATATTTTGTGTAAACAGATCTGGATCAGTATTTTGATGGTCCCCGTGGGTCCGTATCGTCATTTGAGACTCGGGTGTATGCCCGAAATCGAATTCGGATGTCCCTAACTTGATTTAACGCAATTTATTAAAAACTAGCAACTTGAAGGCTAAAAGAATTTCTAAGTATGAGCGTAGGTTGACTTTGTTGCTACCAGGGTCGGATTTCGGTCCGGAACTTGGTATAGGTTCATTTCAGTATTTATGACTTGTCGGCAAAATTTGGTGCAAAAACGGAGTTGATTTGACGTGATTCGGATATCCGATTATAAAGTTGCATGTTATTGATTCGTAGTTTTAGGTGTTATTTTGGTATTTTGTATCGTACGAGCAAGTTCGTTGATATTATTACACTTGTGTACATGTTTTGTTTGGAGCCCCAAAGGCTCGGGTGAATTTCGGACGTGTTTCAGAGAGTTTGGTAGAGTTTAGTTGTAGCTGGTATGACCTGGTGTGCAGATCTCACAAATGCGAGATCAGAGATTGCAACCAAGTCTGTGATGATCGCATTTGCGAACATCCTGTTCGGAATTGCAAAGATGGCCTGGGGCAGCAGGGATCGCATTTGCGATCATTTGATTGCTTTTGCGACCTGTCCAAGTTTGCATTTACGAATATATCATCGCAAAGATGTGGGGAGTTTGCATTTGCGATTGCTTCTTCGCATTTGGATGTTTTGCATTTTCGAACCCCGAGTCGCATTTGCGATGTCTGCGCCTCGACATAACTGAGGGACGGAATTTTAGCCTCACTTTTCATATTTTGGAACCCTAAACACCCTAGAAGCGATTTTCTAAGAGGATTTTCTTCCCAAAACTTTGGTAAGCAACTTTAATCTATTTCTTTTCAATTACTCATTGCTTTCCAAGTGTTTGCAACATTAATCTAGGATTTCAATGTAGAAATTAGGGATTTGGATAGAATTCGAGGTTTTTGTAAAATTGAAATTTAGAGCTAAAACTGAGGTCGGATTTTGAAGCTAATCACACAATCGGGCTCGGGGGTGAATAGGTAATCGAATTTTGATCCGAATCTCGAGTTTTGACCAAGCGGGCTCGAGGTTAACTTTTGTTGACTTTTTGGGCAAAGTATTAGATTTATGTATTGTAATAAATTTCTGTAGCATTGTTTGTTGATATTAAGTTGATTTTGCTTAGATTCGGTTAGTTCGGAGGTGAATTTCAGAGGAAACGCCTCGGTTAAGCTTTGAATTATTTGCGAAGCGAGGTAAGTGTTGGGTCTAACATTGATTTGAGGGAATTAGGAACCCTTGAGCTATGTGTTATGTGAATTACATATGTAGTGGCGTATATGCGAGGTGACGAGTGTGTATACGCCGTCAAAATAGGTTTTTTCATGCTTTCCCATTTTACACTAAATATCTCATTCCATGTCAGAATTTCTTTCTATGCCTTAACTTGTTACTTGTCACCTATTTACTCTTGTATTGAAATGCTTGTTTCTTCCATGATTCCATGATTAAATGCTACTTGCCTTACTTGTCTTACTTGTATACTATTTACCGTGAAAATGATAATAACAATTAAATTTGTTAATGAAACTCTAAAAATACGTGATCTATTTTATGCTAGTTGTTAAGTAGTTGATGCTATGTACGCGAAGTTTAAAGACGAAATGCGAACTAAAGTAGAGTTATAATCAAACCGAGGGGTTAGCTACTCGGGCCTCAGACTGACCGATGAGGGGCCTCGAGGTCGATGCCTGGGCTCGGGCTCGAGCTATCGGGGATACTCGGGAAAGGGCTAACAGTTAAGATATAATTAAGAGAGGCTCTTTATGGCCAATGACGAGCAATAAATAAAGAACAAGTATGAACGTGATAAATGAAAGTAATAATATCGAGAGAGTGTGTGAGAAAGCAAAGAGAGTGTTCTTCTATATTTCTTGTGGAGCGGATGGAACAACAGAGTTTACAAAGCGCCAAGGATCCCCATTATATAGGAGGGGAAATTCCAACATAGTACAAAATGCATGAATTGTAAATGTATGGAGATGAGACGGCTAGACGTGACACCAGGCTCTGCCAGTGGTATCTGCTCGCCTTGGGAACTCCCCGTCCCCGGCATCGTCGTTGGGTCGGGCATAAATGGTCGTCGAGGGAGAGAACTCGACCGCAACCTCGCAGCCTTGAGATCTCGAGATGACTTCCCGAAATGCCTTAATGACGAGGAATTGGACCCTCCGATTTCACCATATACAGATAGTCTCCACGTTTCCTAGAACGAAGTAAATAGGAAACGACCCTGAGTTTCTTCCTCCTTCGATATTCTTGTAATCGGCAACGACCACAAGATGCCAGGATATGATACGCACGCTGCCCCTGCAGGTTTCCACATTGACTATGGCAGTTGGCTGCCTCTTGGCCTTCTTCAATGCACGCACGGTGCTTTTATAAATACTCCCCTTCTTATTTTCTATAACCCATTGCGTGCCCAAATCCCTGAAAAGGTTCGCTCTTCCTTTGCTCTCGTTTTTTCTCAGGAACACAACTCTTTTTCTTCCTCTAGAATCTTCTAGGGATGGCGAAAACATCCACATCTGCTTCTCAGGAGGTTGCGGTCTCATCCTCTTTGCTTCTTTCTCAAGGTGAAGTGGCCACACCTCCTCGTGCTGAGGAATGCGTCCCAGGATCTTTTGCGATGACCTCCGATTTCAAGGTCGAGAGACCTTCCTCGAAGCTAGAGCGTCGCGAGTCCGAGACTCGGTATATCAGCTCGGTAACAGACGCCGGGAGAGTGAGGGCTGACTGCCACTGGGGGATACCGTGCTTGTGGAGATCCCTACTCGGGAAGAAGATACTACGGCTCACAAAACCGGCGTTCTAAGTGTGTACACCTATCCATTCACCTTGGGGCCGGTGGGGCTATCCTCGCCCCTGATCGACCCCGTGATTCTCTACTTCTGTCGACGGTATCAGGTAACCCTTGGTCAAATTCATCCTTTGTTCTGGCGCATTGTCTATATGATCAGGCATTACACAAACATGATAGAGGAGATGTCCTTCACTCTCAACTAACTGATCAGGATGTATAGTCCTCGTCTCCTCCGTGGGTGCCTAATCAAACTCCGCTGTCGAGCCACGAGGTCTCTCTTTGCCTGCACCGAGGAGCTCGGGAACGGGGGATGAGCAAGCCAATTCGTCCGAGTGAGGACTTCTGACCTGATCCTGGCGGAAAAGATGGCGTACCCCGGGAGGTGGAACGTGGGGCGTAAGTAAACGTGTTGTCGGGTCTTCCTTTTCTTCTCTTTGACAATATTTCTCCAAGCATCTAACTCTATTTCTCTAGCTTTTTTAGCCGTAGCAACCTACCCTGGTGTGATTTCATGTCATGACCCAAATCGATGGGCCGGGACGGGTACCCGGTACCTTACTCAACTGAGTACCAACGTAACGTATCTTTCTTNCACCGTCTGGTCATGGGTCAATGCACATGAATGCAATGCATGAAAGTACGTCAATAAAATCATTCGGAAGGTCATAAGACCACTTTGCCTCTTGAGCAATATCATAAAGTAGCATTTTTTCAACTTACGTATTTTTCTGAGACCCATGAACAAATGATAAAATATTATGACACATGCGAGTTAAAGAACATAGATATTTCTATTACTTCTATGAGTAGAATCACTTATGGAATTGGTGCATTTGCACGTTTCGTTCGTATCGTATGGATCATGCCAAAAGAAAGAAGGGATAGCCTTAACATACCTGACCACAAACTTATTGGCTTCTATTTGTGAATTGCGGCAGTGAATAAACACAAATGTACAAGACTTCATGCTTAAATACTTCATAGCTTCCAGTCACAGTATACTTTCTTCCCCCTAAGCATGCTAGTCTTTTAATCATAAACATACTGTGACTGAACAATGCTCGCGAATAAAGTCCAAATTACAATTGTCACCTAACTTCTCTTAATAGAGTTGGTAAGGCTAGTTAGTCCTAAGCACCTGAACAA